CTTCTTTTTTTTTTTTTTTTTTTTTTTTTTTAAATGGGATCTCCTTAAATTGCTCAGGCGGGGCTTGAACTTATAATTTTCTAGCCTCATGTTTCCAAGTAGCTGGGATTACAGATATGTGCTACCATACCCAGCTATGGTTTTTAATTTATGGATAATTCTAAAAAGTTTATTTAGTTTTGCAGCCAGGGAAATAGAAATGGAAAAGCTGGAAAGTAGTTTCTGTCTTAGGCCTGTTGAAGGCATCAAGAAGAACTAACAGATGACAATCACTCAAGGTGAAGGGTTCAGTAAAAATGATGAAATGATAGCGGAAATGATAAAAGTACAGCATCAGAGGACCAATCAGAGAAGGATTAAACCCAGAGAGCCCGGAATCACCACCACAGGGCAGCAGGCTTGTGTGACAGGTGCACACAGTGATGGTCTGAGTCACCACAAAAGTTGATGTCACAGGAGGTGGACCCCCCCATCAGAGCCACCACGGTGGGAAGAGAACTTGTGGAGAAAGGACTGGCTGAACCAGATGTGGTGGTATAGCAGTAGTCCCAGCATTCAGAAGGCTAAGGTAGGAGCAGTGAGAGCTCCAGACCAACCTGAGCTACGCAGTTGAATTCAAGGCCAGCCTGGACTATACAGTGAAAACCTGTCTCAAAGAAAATAATAATAATAAAAAAGGACAGAGCTGCAGAGTATAGATGGGGAGAAACCATTGTCCAGGACCAGAAATAGAATTCTTGGTTTTGGCCACAGGAAGCCAAAGGTTTGAGAACCCCTGTGGGGTGTTGAATGCAGTCATACTTTGTTAACTCCAAGGGAGGCTGCGTATTAGTTTCATGGCAGAGGGCAGACAGGTACTTTCTGTGCATTTTTGTTTGTTTTGTTTTGATTTTTGAGACAGGGTGTCATTGTGAAGTTCAGGCTGGTCTTGAACTCACTATGTAGCCCAGGTTGGCCTCCCACTCATGGTGACCCTCCTGCCTCAGCCTCTCAAGTGCTGGGATTACAGGCATGTGCCACCACGCCCAGCTACTTTCTGTGCATCTTTTAATGTATTTTATAATGCCTGGGATTAAACAACTTCCCAATGTGTCACAGACAGTTAAGTGAGCTCCATGGTAGTCACAGTGGGATGGTGACGAGAGGGGGTGCTGCTCTCACAGGATGGCACTTCAACAGGAATTAGGTCTGTTGGGGTGGGCTTTACACTTTTCTGGAAGGAGCAAGTTATGGATTTGAGGCTGGGGTAGAGATGCCGCCAATGGGGCATCATTGTGGACTGACTGCACCTTCAAGAGGGATGGCACCATGGCACGTAGAACTAGAGTCCCTCAGAGGCCTGCTGTGCTTCTGTCCCCTCCCCCAGCCCCGGGCCTGACACTACCAGTTGACAGGCAGCCAATCTGACAAGCCCAGCTGTCGGGGTTACCCTCCTTCAGGCCCCTGGGCTCGCTAGCACTTCCTGTTGTGGAAGTGTCTTCAGTGGTGGTCACTGGGCATTGTGGTATGGGGAAAGATGGACCCATTTCCTGGAGGGTCAGGAGAGGCCATGTTCATCCTGACAATCAAACCTCCCCCACAGGAAATGGCTCCAGCTGGGGCACAGAGCCTTTCATCCCCTTTCTCCTGTCTCTCATTTGGCTCCCCAAGACCTCTCTCTGGCTTTCTGTTGACAGGGTGTCAACAGAATAGAGACTCGGGAGGTGAGGAGGGAGAGAAAGCAGGAGCTCCATCTGTCAGTGTGAAGCAGACCCAGAAGTTTCCAGGAAGTGTGAGGAGAGGCTGGCTCAGCCCACCTTCCCCTTAACTCTTGTCCCTCCTGCCGCGGGGTTATGGGGTTATGGATGTGGCCCCTTCACCTGGGCCGATGGAGCTGCAGAGCCCATGCTGCCCCTGTCCTGGGGCCATACCCACACAGGGCACTGCTCTTCTCCCATTTCACGTGTCCCTGCCGCACTCTCCAGGCTTCGCTCCTCCTCCCCTCCCCAGGGAGGACTTCCCCAATCAGCAAACCTGCTTGTAACAGCCACAGGGAGTGGAAGAGTCTCACACATGAAGCCCTCCTGTTTCCAGCTGGCTCCACAACAGCTGCCTGTCTTCTCCCGACCTTTCCCTGAATCCCACACACACACCCCGAGGGCCTTGGGTGACTGCTGCCATTTGTCTTGCCTTGGTTTGTTCTTTCTTTGTGGCTCATAGCTAGTAAAGTAAATAGCTCTCAGGACTAAGCTTTGTCCCTGGTCCCCCCTGCACCGTAGGCAGTATGAGGAGCCAGGAGTGTGGAAGACTCCCGTTCACATCCAAGCAAAGTCACTGTGGCGTCCTTAAAACAGAGGTAAGGACACTGCCCTTGCAGGTAGGTTGTAGTGAAGAGTAACTGGGCTGCTGGCCACTGGTCTGGTACAGAGGTCCCTGTGGACGGTAGCTATTGTGATTGCCACACCTACTTCTCCAAGGCGTCTGGACCCATGGAAGCCTGCAGTCTCTCAGGTGATCAGAGCTCCCAGACCAGTGTTCTTCCTCCTCCTCCTCCTCCTCCTCCTCCTCACACTGCCTGGCCACTCTAGATTTTTAATACCGGATTTAAGGAGAAGGGGTAGAGAAACTGGCAAGGGAGACCATGAGGGAAGCCCCTGAGGGATGCAGTGAGGCAAACCTTTTAGAGCTTTCCATGACAACAGCTGGCTGCAGCACGCATGCCATTGGTTTGCCACCACAGTATTAGGGCATTGGGTGATGGATATGGGTGATGGCATTGGGTGGCATCAGCAAGAGGGAGGAGGGCATGGGAAGGACAATTCCAGAGGTGGATTCTTCCTACTTCTCTCTCATCGAGGGCCTCCCTTGGGCTGTACTTCTAGATGTGGACAGGGCAGTGATGTGACCATCCGCCTCATGTAGGTGGGGCACCCTGCTCATGGGGGTCCTAGGGCACTCCCACATGGCAGTGGGGCTGGGTCTGGTCCTTAGGGTCTCCTGCCCAGGCAGCAGCCTGTGTCTTCTGGCTGGGCCACATGGGGAGACACACAGGTGAACCATAAGGTGTTCCCGGATCATCCTGTTCCTGGGCCTTGTGGTTTTATCCACAATGCAGCCCCTGCTGTGTGAAGCACAAGCGTCTCCTCAGTGAGCTGGCCCATGCATGTGGTTGGCCTCTCCGGTGACTGCTACATACAGCTAGAGCATGCGTGCGCTTTGGCTTTGGTTCTTGAACTTGTGGCTGGCTCATGCTTCCTCTAAATATTTTTGTCTTTAACTGATTCATAGCAGCTGACCTGCAGCAGGAGAAAAATAAAGCAAACTCTGACCCAAATCACCAGAGCCTGTCCCTCTTGAAGCAATGTGATCTCTGCAGGATTTAGCAGCATTCATTGTGTATTTTCTGAGGTCCAGGGACTGCACGGGCCCTGTTCCACCATGAATTAGACAGCCTGATCCTGGGCCACAGCTAGAGAAGGGCAGAGCCAGGATTCAAAGCTGTGCCTGACATCAGCACCCATGTCCTTAACAGCTCAGCTATCTGCCACCGTAGCACTGAGCAGGGCCACCTCTCCCAGCTCTCATCCTCTTAGTGGGACCCAACCCTAACTCATCCTAAAAAGATGGCTGAGTTAGGTCAGCTTGGGAAAAGATAGCCCCTGCCTTATTCGGGTCCCTGCCATGGGACAATGACAGTGTGTGTGAGTTGGGGTCACATCCATCAGAATTCATATGCCAGCTCCACCTGCTGCTCACTGAGCCTCTGTGTGCCATTTCATCATCTGTGAAGAGTGGATAAGAATTGTTCCTTTTCACAGGGCTATAGGATAATGAGAGATACCGTGGCGCCCAGCACTTAGTTTGAACTATATAGGTGCTGTCTAGTACCATGCAAACCAGACCAGAAATGAACCCCACACCATGTTACATGCTAAAGAGGAAGGAACAGGAGCCTGAGGTGTGGGAGTTTGTCATCCATGTGTGGAAATGGGACCCCTTACCAAGGACTGCTCACAACACCACGGGGCCAGCATGCAGCACATGATGGCACAGTTGCAGAGTCTGAGGGCAAATTATGGAAGCGACATTCCTGGCTAGATTGGGGAAAGGACTGGGCCTGCTCAGCAGGGCTCAAGAGAATTGCTTTGGCCATTTATTCTTATTGCTCTCAACTGTGTTGGGCATCAGAATCACCCAAGAAGGTGGTTGGATATGAAGACTCCTGGGCCTTGCTACCTGATACTCTGATTTTGCAGGTCTTGGATGAAGCCAAAGGGTCTGCAGACTCCCCTGAGATTCAGATGCACATGATACCTGGTCTCTCTGCACCCTTTGCAAAGCACTGTGCCCAGGGGCACCAGTTCACGGAGCTAAGTGACATTGCCATGGGTGGTTTTCTCAATCGCCCCTTGGGGTTTTTGTGGGAGATCAGTGGCCTCCATCACTGATCCAGTTCCCCAAATGAAATCATTTCACCCTTATCCCAACACTGTCCCCAGACAACTGTGCATATTTCTTGCCTTGTCTTCAGGGTTGCGACTATCAAGACAAAGCACCAGGATGAGAGCAACACTCAAGGGTATTCAGAGATCGCACAGTCTTCCCCATTCCTGTTCTTTGCCTCTCAGCAATGAGTGGGGTAGGTGGCCTTTGTTCAGTGGGGATACTGAGGCCCAGGAATCCAGGAGACTGCTTCAAATCATCTGAAAACCCAAGGCAAAGTCACATTTGAACTTCTGGCTTCTGTCAGGATAGCCCGCTAAAGCACAGCTTCTCCTCTCTCCCCGGGTCTGGAAGCTATGGGCAAACCCAGCTGCCGAGCTCTGAGAAGAGAAGACTATAGCCAAGATTTTGTCTAGTCTAGGCCAGGGAGGACAGTGGAAACTCACCCATTGGGATGACACAGGCCAAGCACGCAAGGAGTCGGATGGACGCTTCCATGCTGGGGCATCTGGAGACCCAGCAGCCCCACACCCAGCCAGGTCACCAGCGAGAGCCCCTTCTGCATGAGTGTGGTAAAAGCAGATAGGGCTGGGTGGTGTGCCCCGGTCTGCAGGCCCCACCAGGCTCTGTGAGCTGGAGGAACTGGGGGCAGGCGACTAGGCGGCTGGTGGTATGATCACACCGGACCCATGCAGTTTAGTCATGTGGAAAACTAAGAGGGGGAACTGCTGGATGGGTTTCCAGGGCAGGAGACAGGGAAGTAGATTGGGGCCAATCAGGGCCCTTCCTCTGTGGCCCCTGGCACTTGCCCTCCCTGCCTCTCTCCCTCCTTTCCTTCCTTCCTTTTCATCCTCTTTTCCTGAATTTTCAGTGTACCTGGTTGGTTTTGCCTCCCTCCGTTCTCTTCTTTTCTTCTCTTCCTCACTACTGAGGGGAGGAGCCTATCAACACCCTAACTGAGAGATGGGAGACTCTAAGTCAGTTTTTGCAGGAAAAAGACTGGTCTAGCTGTAATTCACTTTTGTGACCAGATTCCCCTCCAGAGAGCCTGAAGTTCTACAACTTCTAAAACTTTTATGGTCATTGCATCCTCTGGGGGTCTTATGAAAATGCAGATTCAGGTCCATTTGGCCTGTGGCTGTTAGGTAATTTGCATCTCTGGCAAGTCCAACTACACTTCTGCAGCAGAGTTAAGATCACCACCCTGGGAGCCAGTGAGGGGCATTATCAAGTAGAAGTCAGGACCCTGGGAGGGGACAAAGAGTCAATTCTGGAAGCTTATTAGATGGGCTCTTGGTTGGGGGGTGAAGGGATTAGACTTGCAGTTGGATTTAATCTGTCTGATGGTCAATTTCTTTTCCAGTAATGGAGTGGACTTGTGCCCTCTCACCCCATGCAGCAATTATATTAGCAATGTGGCTCACCTTTTGGGTCCTTCCCTTTGCTGCACAGCAGTGAAGTCTACAAACTTGAGGGCTAAGAGATAAAATGAGATGAGGTTTTTATTTTTTAATTAATTCATTATTATATTTATTTTTGAGACGTACTTTTAAAACCTTATAAGATTCATTGGGCATGGTGGCACATGCCTGTAGTCTTAGCCTTTGGGAGGCTGAAGTAGGGGGATGACAAGTTTGAGGCCAGCCTAGGCTGGACAGTCAGACCCTGTCTCAAAGAAAAAAGAAAAACACTAAAACAAAAAACACACCCCCAAAGAAAAGGCAAAACAACATCAATAAGCTTGTGAAATTTACAGAAGACAAAATCCATCACTTTTTTTAATTAAATAATTGAATTTATTGGTACGTTCTAGGGATACAGTACAGTTCCATTCATTGTTGGGATCTTGTACCTCTACATGACAGGTCTTGGTTCTCATTTTTCCCCCTTGTCCCTGCCCTCCCTTCACCCCCTCCTCCCCTCCCCATTTATAAACACTTTATTTCCATCTTTTCATTTTCTCACATTTTTTTCTTTTCCCTTATTACCCTTCCCCTACACATCCCAGCTTCCCTACAAAAATCCATCATTGTTTAAAATCAAGGTGGCAGGAACAAAATGTTCTGCTCCTAAGAGGCTGTAGTAGTGGTGCTCTGCAGTCTCTCCAAGAGCAAGTGGGGAGCCCTAATTCGCCCAGTTTCCTTGTGAGAGCCAGAGACAGAGCTTTCCTCGGTGATGGTGGGTGTTGGTTTGGTTGGTCCTCTCCACTGCATCCGCACCTTCTGTCTGGCAGGTGCCCTTTGGTGCACAGTCCTGCTCTAAATCTGAGTTCCAAGCAGAGGTGATCTTTGGGATATCTATGGCGTTAGTGTGGAGAACAGGCCTGGACACTGAATGGAGGGGCCAGGTGTTAGAGGGAGGGTGGAAGATCACCTCACCAGGACAGTGGGCACATCCTCTGCCCTGGGGCTTTGCAGTTAGCTATTCACATCAATCTCTATTTCTCTCAAGCTAAGTCTCCCATCATTATTGGAATAAAATCTGGGCTGATGGCCACTTGAAGGCTAATATTTGAGAGATGAGAGCTGGTAGTAAGGAATCAGGTTTGTTCAAGGGTGGGCTCTGGAAAAGCCAGAGGGGCTATCAACCTCAAGTGCCAACTCGGAGGGTGTGTGGATAGAGATGTACAGGGTTCTTTATGGGGAGGGGAAGGAGGAGCCCGGCAGGGAGTCTCCAGGCTGAACAATGTCTTCATCTTCCAGCGTTTGTGTCTCCTTTTCTTTCTTCTTTTTCTTCTCTAGAGTGTCCCAGTGGACCTGGATCTCCTGGGACTGGCTCCTATAGTTCTTTTTAGACAAGGTATTACTTTTTGCAAGTTACACCTCACATCCATTTCCATGGTTTGTGTGAGTTGAGGTCTAGAAGCAAGGAGAGGCATTACAAAGGTCACCAGATGTTCTGGGTTCTGTAAATCCAGAGTAAGATTATTTAGCAGTTAATATCTTAACCATTTTAGGTGGGGCTTCTCTCTAGAATTTAGAATGCTGGGCAAAAGGGAGGAGGTGACGTAAAAGGGATTAGGAAGGGACAACAACCCTGGGGAAGGGTGAAGGGAGTGACTCTGTGAAGGGCAACTCCCCAGAGGAGTGGCCCTGTTACACCAGGGCTTCTCTTATCACTGTCGGACCAGGCTGTGGTTTATAACAAGCATTATATGTGTGTGTGTGTGTGTGTGTGTGTGTGTGTGTGTACATACACATATATATGTAAATAATATATCATATATAAATTTATTGGTACATCTACATTTTATAAAATACTAGGTTTCACAGTGGTATTTTCATAGATACAGCATATTTTAATCACAACCCTTCCCCTTTATTACCAGCCCAAGCCTGCAATCTCAGTCCTCTTCTCAGCTGAAGATTTCTGTCTTTCTTGCTTGTCATCTTTTTTTTTCCTCAGAGATTCCACATGTTAGGGGAAAACATAATGCTTATCTGTATAAGTCTGGCTTATTTTGCTTAACATGATAGTGTCCAGTTCCATCCATTTTCCTGCAAATGATACAACTTTGTTCTTTTTATGGCTGAGTAATTCTTCATCATAACAAGCATTACTGAGGAAGGATAGACAGACATGTTACTTTTCTGCAAGTCACACATCCCATTGGTTTCCATGCTTTGTGATTTGGTACATAGACTGTTACAAAGGTCACCAGGTGTTCTGAGTTCCGTAAACCTAAAGAAAGATCATTTAGCAGTTAACACCCTAACCATTTAGGTGGGGTCTTCTGTCTAGAATTCAGAATGCTGGGCAAGAGGGTAGGGACAGAAACTTTGCAAAAGGATTAGGAAAGGGCAGAAGGGCAAAGGGAGGGGGAAGTGAAGAAACTTTGCCAAGGACAATTCTCAGAAGGAGTGGTTCTGTTACACCTAGGCAGGTCCATTTGTGCTTTGTGAGTAGGGTGACTGTATAACTTATTATCCAAATTGTAATTTGTCTGGGACAAATGCTGAACTCTGGAACATCAACACAAGAGTCATAACTGCCCTGGGGACACAGACATAGAGATGTGTTTTTATTATTGTTGTTGTTTTGGTTTTTTTCCTAGAAGCACTTCGCGCTACGGGCTTCTTGCACAATGTCTCAAAGTCTTCATGGATCTACACATGAATGCTGGGAGTAGGCGTGGAGAATTGTGGAAGGACCGAGGATAAACTGATTCACGATAGTTCCACTTGCAATTGTTCAACTTTACCATGGTGTGAAAGTGATAGGCATTTGATAGGAGCCAACTTCAAATTTTGAATTTCAATCTTAACTTGGGCTAGTGATATACAGCCTCTCTCAGGAGGCTGGGCAACTTCCCACCAGCCACAAGACCACATGGAGGAACAAGTGACACGCTACAGTGTACTGTGTTGCTAAGCCATTTTCAACATACAATGGTTTATCAGGAAATAACCCATCTCGGTGAAGGAGCATCTGTATTCCCAGTTATTCCAAGCAGAACTGCCCTTTCCTTCTAAATTTCTTTGCTTCAGTTTTTCTTCAGAGGATTGAGATTGTGCATAGCATCTCTGAGAGCAAGCCACACGCTGATGCTGGCATCCCACAGCTAAGGGAATAGGCGAGAGTGAATGTAGCAGGGGCCTTTGCAATTTATACGCCCTGCACAAATGTGTGAATACCATGGCGGAGGTAAGGAAGGGCTAGGACATGAAAGAAGGATTGTTTCTAGTGAGCTAGGGAGCCCACCCAGCCAGGTTTAGTCTGGAGAAGGTGAAACCCAAGTGGGCCTAGGTTAGAGGAAGGTGAGGAATATAAGCCCCAGGAGCAGCAGTGGCTGGACTGTGGTGGCGGAGAGTTGGAGAGGAACTGGTGGCATCTCCAGCTGAAGAGTGCAGGGTAACGGGCCAGTATGGATATTCATTCCTTTGTATGCACTGACTCCACTCCTGTCCCAGCTGGCTGAGGTGACCCTGCCATTCAGGGGACCCAGAGCAAGGGTCAGGCTTGGGTGTCCAGGAAGCCAGTGAGGTCACACTAGCTTCCTATATAGAGGCTTTAGACGGGGTGTGTGTGTGGGGGTTTCCTTGATCCACACCACGGGGAACTGCAACACAGTCCCAAGGGACCCCAGCTGCTGACCCTTAGGCCGGGGGTGGAACAGAAAGCTGAAGGTTTCTGTCTTTTTCTATCAGGGCAAATGAAGCCACATCCTTCTGCTAGCTTTGCATGGTGTTCCTCCGTTGTCTTCTCTCCGTTTCCCCTTCTCTGGAAAGCTGGGGTGTTTTCAGCTTTCTGTGTCATTCTCCTCTCTGGATCACAGGGAAAGGCTGTGGTGCACAGGAGCACAGTTTCTGTACCAGGTGATACAGGGGCAGAGTTCCAGATTTGTCACTCACTGCAGTGGGACTTTGGGCAGTTCCTTATTTTCTGTGTGTGGATGACAATGGCACTGCTGCAGGGTGACAAAGTGAGCTCACAAGGCATAATGGGCCGGACCTGGCTCTGGGTGAGAATTCAATTAAGCATCAGAAAGATGCAGCAGTCTTTATTTTGGGTCCCACCTGTGTGGAATATGGGTAAATACTGATTCCAGTGAAAACACGGTGCCATGACACAAGGCTTCATTATACTGGAGGTATCTGTGGAGAATAGATACCTACGAAAGG